TAGTATTTATATATATATATATATATATTAAAAAACCATGCAATACTAGTTTAAAGGGAAATAGTTTTGCTCTGTATATTTTGTTACTTTTCAGATTTAATAAGACTTGCATCTGTAAAAATGCCTAAACAATGCTGTAATCTGATACAGTGCAGCTGATTATTTGCTATAAAGCATTATTTGTAAAGATCATTTTTTTACTTAATGAAAATTGTTATATGTACACATGATCCAATATATACAATTTTACTGCACCTATTTTTCTAACAAATTTTCTAATTTTTTTAAATGTTTGATTTAAAGTTTCAGACTCCAAAGATGAAGGGACTGCTTGTTTATATCACAGTTGTATTCTCTCTACTAGAGAGCATTTCTGTGACCATTCCTTCCCCACTACTCTCCCTCTTTCCTTGAAAATCTGTTAGAAAGTGAGATACAGTATGTTGTCAGCTCTTCTCTTCCATTTACAACGTGTATGCTGCTTTATACTTGAGTTGAATCTTGTGTGGTTTTTTTATTTGCAGCACCAACATCTAAATAAAAGATCTGCAAAGTAACAAAGGACTTGGAGTCAAGTGTTTCTTGTGTGGGGTGTATTTTGTGTAAGGTATGCTACTGCTTTCTCAGTTCGTGAGCTTAGCATATGAATCCCTCTGCCTTTAACTCTTAAGTCTTTGAAAGCCACATTGACCTGGAAAGGAAGAAAGGAGAATACTTGCTGTGATGACTAGCGTGACCATCCTCACCCGAGTCCCAGGGAAGAGGTATACAGCAGCAGCACTAGTTAGAGTTGTACATATGAAGGTTCTGCTGACTGTAATACTACATCTGAGGCAAAGTGAACTGACACAGTGGTTGGGCCTTAAGCTTTTGCATTTCCACCAGTTCACATGAATAAATGGTAAGTTTAGCTAAACTCCTGTCCTGTCTGATCCATATGGTATACAGCACTTGTTAATACTGTCTTACGTCAGCAGCTGGTAAGAACAAGGAACTTCCTACAACTACATTTATTCTATTAGCTGTTGTCCCACACTTCTGCTGAGGGAAAATATGTACATTTAACTGGTTTTAAGCACTGTGATACAGCACACATTTGAAAGGCATGTGGCCACAGGCCAGAGCTTTTTAGGGTCATGTGAAGTAATACTGGCACTGTAGATAACTCTGAAACACAGAGGTGTTAGCATCACCCATCTGCAGCAAACAGTTAAAGATAAGCTAGTTTTTTAAAGATAAGCTAGTTTTTAATTCTCTCTGAACATGTATAAAACATCAGGATCAGAGTGAAAGCATAAACTTCTTTAATGTAAGTTATTTTCTCTAAGAAGTATTCCTATCTGTGATTAAATTAAATAATTGCAGTTCTGTGCCCAGAAGTGGAAAACTGCATATCATGTGTCTACTGTTGTCTTGCCAGCATAATTCATTTCAAACTGAGTTTGTCACTCCTAAAGAAACAATACTGACCTTGTACTCCAGCCACAGACACAGATAACAAAGCTGTAACTTTCAGAGAAATAAAACCTTCAGAATGTCACACACTTTCCCCAGAGCTGAAAGGTATGTGCCACTTGAATTTAAAACATCACACATGGGGAGGGAAAAGTCGTTGTGCAGTAATCTCTCATGACTTAAAGTTTTCCTTATTTGAATGCAGTACAAGTGTAAAGTCCATCCATGTGTTTGGACTGCAGAGCACTTCCTGCCATTGGAGCACTGGCTGAGAAACAAGGTCTGTACAGCCAAATGATTCCTCTGCAAGAAACCAAAAGGAAAGGTCACAGGGTTACTTTTCACTTGGCCTTACCCAACTTCTGGCCCAATTGTCTAGGTAACAACCAACCTGCTTCTCCCACTTCTACAGCACTTTCAGCTGTTCTGTAGCTCCTAAGGCATTAATTGCAATAAACTGTAGTACACTTTTGAAGCATTGTTTACATCCTGTTAAACTAGGATCACTCACTCTCAGCTTGCAACAAAGAAAAATTTTTTCATTGTATGACTTAAAAGCAGAGGAGCAAGTGCGCATACTAAAAATAGCAGAATGGCACAAAGCCTCCTGCTTCAGTTCATCTCCAGTGACTTCAATGCATTACTAGCGTTAGGGCTTGGATAGTCATCTTCACCCAGAAGCAGGTAGTCCCTGCTCTAGCAGAAAGGAAAATGCAGGGTAGGACAATCAAAAGAAGCTCATGAGGAAGCCTGCACAGCACGGAGTTATGACTAGTGAGAATACTCCTCTAAAGTGCATGTTGATACCATAACAAAGTGGCTGAGCCTGAATCTTTTTGAGCCTTTTATCTCAAATACTGAAACCAAAGCACTTACTCTCTGGGAAGACAGAGGGGGGAGACTCCATTGGGCAGTCTTCAAGTGACAATACTTCCCTGCTCAACTGCCAGTTAAACAGGGCCTATTCAGTGAGCAGAGGGTTTCTCAGCCTTGAGAAAGAGGGCTTGCTCTTATAACAGAGCCCAAAACTCAGACATGCAATAGGCCTTTCTGAGCAAGTTTCACTTTCTGTATCTCCCATTGATTGGATTGATTTGTGGGTGTAAAATAATAAGCAAAAATACAAGCAAGGTTAGACTACTAGATCATTAGTTCTTGTTCTTCTTTTGATGAGATAGTAGTTAAAAGTAGCCAATTCATAGAAAACAGCTCAAGGAACAAGTCTCAAAAAAATCTCTAGATGCGTTGACTCCACCCAACTTTTCTGTGCCTGTCTTCTACATGGCCAGGCTCCGGCCCTAAAACATACCATGTTAACAAATGGCTTTCCTGAAAATTCCCCCTGACACCCTTGAGCTTCTGCACAGACCTGAATTAACACACATGCATCGGTTCTGGCAGGCTCAAAGTCCAAGATTGCAAGTTGCTCAGGACAGGGGCTGGGGCTGTATGTGTAGGCACGTGACAGCAGGTAATAAATAGCACAGTGTAAATATTATTATTTAGAATGTAAACTAAATGAACTTTTTCTCAAGTTACCCTCAAATTTTAGTGATAAAGAACTTACCTGCACCAAGCTTGGCTCCTCCTAGGAACTGATCGCTTGAGCCGAAAGCTGACTGATCCCAGACAGTCAAGTGTAGACATGACTGCTGTAGCTGCGTTGGGGTAACACCATCAAAGACAAACAAGTATTTCCATTGAGGACAGGCTTCTTTCTTCAGGACAGGAGACTTTTGCTTTACCTCTGCTTGATCTGGAAGGATAAGACAACTTCCCAAAAACAATGAGAGTTCAGCAAGGTTACTGATTTCTCAACCAGAAAACAGAACACTTGCAATAATCAACCAGGGCCCTTCAGTTTGCCTTAAATAGCAAAAAAGTTCAGCTTAAGTGCAAGGTAGAACATGGTGCTACTGTGTTTATTTTGGGGCTTGCTCCTTTTCCTGTCTGCCTTCAGTGTGGGTGCAAGTAGCTCTTCTGATCTGCTTTTCCTTTGCTGTTACTGACTGCTGAGGGAGTCTTTACTCCCCGTTCTGTTATCCAATGCTGCCTGAAACCTGCCTTTCAGTAAATAAAACGCTCACCCATTTCACTGAAGATAGGTGCCACAGCAGGTGAAATGGCTTTATGAGATGTTGTGAGTGTACCCCAGTATCATACTTCCAATGGCATCTGATGCCTGACAGTAAGAGAGCAAAATGATCCCACATACAAGCTACTCAGCGCATTGAAGAAAAATTCAGTTCCTCCTCTTCTAAAATGTCTAGAATAAAGAGGCTAAAAGTTTCCTTTTCGATGTATCCAAAGCTAAATTTAATTCCGCAAAGGCACAACTGAAAATAAGAATGAAAATACCCTCTAGATTTGCACTTTTTTTTTCTCTCCTAATATCTAAAAGCAGATACTTAAACTAGTGAACTCTAAATTGTAATGACATCAGTAAATTCTGAAGTTCCATTCAGGACACAAAGAGCATGTGGGACCCGTCACTGCCCTGCTGAGTGCTGCTGTTGTGCAGACACCCAAATGTCACCATTACAAGGAAGTCTGACTAAGAGCGTGGACAATGCCACTTTCACATGCCAGTCTCCTGATGAAAACAAGTTAATGCATGCCTTTGCACAAAATGTGTGTGACATTTTCTGTTTGAAGTGTTAGGTCTCATACATACCCTTTAACGAATAAGTTTGGCATTCCAGCAGATCTCAGCATGGGCAAGTTCTTGGCCCCAAATATCATAACCTGAAGCTGGCAGTTAGGAACTCCTTGCTCTTTTTTTCCTGAAACAGGAGCATTTATCACATTAAACAACCAGTTAGTTCAACTGCTAGCCTAAGATGCTGCTCTAACTAATTAGGAAAAAAAGCAGTACGACTGCAATAAGGACACATAGTGCTGTATTAGGATCATTTGAAAGATTTTAACCTGCTTATACAGTGTATGATTCACACAAAAAAAGCAAGCAATGAGTAGCAGGTTGCTTTGCTATTCCTATTCCAAACACAGAGCTTTCTGTTGTATTTGTGAAAAGTAAACACAGGGCAGTGCCCACAGGAGTGTTTCTCTGAAACAAAGCCAGAAGCAGGAGAAACAGCCAAACCCACAGTGTGATACCGCTCATCTGTTACAGCTCAAGTTATAGAGCAGAGACCCAGTACGCAGGCATGCATAGGGACGAAAAATGGAAGCAAGCAAGCTGGTAACTTTGGGGTCATCTGGAAAAGACAAGGGAACAAAATTAACGTAACAGCTAAGTAGATCTTTCTATTGGTCTCTTACCTATTGCTATGATCCTGAACACAGAGAGCGCTGCTGGAGCTCTGACTGTCTGCATACCTCATTATGGTCTAGGGAGGTGAGGAAAATGAGGTTGTCCTGTCCCCTCCCCACAAAGTGTTTATTTTACTCCACCAGCAGGTGCTTGCTCTGACACACTACAGCAATACTTAATGTACCTCACAAGTCTTCCACTACCAAAAACTGAATCCTGACTGTACATGTTGAACCTAACATCTTTGAAGGGAAACAATCTCTCTAAAATGAGACCACTGGAGGAAGCCAAGGGTGCTGGTCTGGCACCCTTGCAGCCATTTCCCTTCCACCTTTTCCCTAAATTGGCAGGCTCTGCCTTGGGCAGTAGAACTCCTGCATCACCTCCAGAATAAGGTCTACTGGCAACACCATGACAGGCATAAGCTGTCCAGACAAACAGCTGGATGCATCATACTGCTGCCATTATAATGGGTAGCTTTTGTTGGCAGTAAAAAGAACAAAAAGATGAAGTTGGCAAATGTTTGGATTAATGAATTTACAATATAATACACCACAAACCAGTTTGCAGTAGCTGTTATCAACGCCATACTGAAATATTATATGGACACATTGTCAGTCCTTCACTGATCTCAATTCTTTTCTAGCCAAGGGATTCATGTATGCTGAAACATTTTATACCTTCAAACTGGAAATTTTTATACTGGGCTGGTACTGACAGTCTTGCAGACACAAGGAGTTCGCCGCTGTACTGTATAAGATCATCTTCAGGCTTTTCAAGCTGAAGAAAGGGACATAGAGAAACCTGCATTACTGCAATCATTTTATTCCACATCATTTTCACAGCTTATTTATGTTTGCAACACGTCTTAGTAATGGGCTGGATTGACAGCATTCTCCCCCCCATGACTTCAGAAGGCTGATCTTTTTCATACCTTTCACTACATCCTGCTCTTAAGATACTAGTAAGCACAAAAATTAAGAATCACCTTGGCTTTGAGCTTGTACCGGTTGAACAATTGCATTGAGTTATCTTCGAAATTCCACGCTGCCAGTGGAATCACCACTTCCCCCAAAAACACCCTGTATTTGAGTGCTCCTGCATGCCACACAGAGATCTGAAGCTGCCGACTTCCCAGCTGTGAGTATTCAATCTTGTACTAGAAAGATAAACAGCATTTACAAACCAATACACAGGATGAATGCAGGCCCATGCTCATAACCTGCTCAAAGGAAGCCCAGCCGCAGCATGGCTGAAGGTGTCTGGATGCAGACAGAACCATGTTGTCTGAATGTGCTTTGCAATTTGCATATTACCCCATTACTTAAATGCTAAATAATGCTCATCCAAATATGAAACAACATTCCAGGAATACCTTGGCCTGCCTTGCTAAAGATTTTGATTATTAATTCAGAACTTTAAATAATTCTTGAACATTTTTGCTGTTTTTTTTTTTATATTTCTGTTTTACACTCCCAGCAGAATTTGGCTACTCTGGAGGCCAGTTCAAGATTAAGACACCCAACAAAGGTGCTAAAACTCCCCTTCTGGTCAGTGGACATCTATTCAATGCAGTCAGTAGGGGCAAGGAAGTAATTCACCTGACCACTAAATAAAGCCTGAATCTACTCCCAAAACATAGTTAGAGCCCTTTGAGACATAGTTGGGTATCTAATATACCCACAGGAGACTGGTAAACGTGATACCCAGCCTACAGGTGACCGGCGCCCTCCTGGACTGAAAGCTGGAGGCGATGGCATGGATGAGGACGTAGATACCCACATTTAGGCTGCAAATCACAAGCTGGGTGTAGGCTCTGGGGTCAATCACCCTGAATCACCCTGGGCTCCAGTGATTCCCAAGAGCACCTACACACCTCACACGTACACCTACTTAAATGCAGGTGCCTTAATTTGCAGCTGAATCCCACTGAGTTGGATCTCAGTGTCACGATGTAGTTTACCTGCACTAGCACTATGCTCTTTTGACCATTTCTGCTACTCTGGATGAACTAATAATTAAACTAATTTAAAAGACTTCTAACTAAACTACCGTTAGTGTTCATGCAGCCAGCTCAGGCATGGCTCTCACTCTCCCTTTATCGGTTCTGCATGACTCTGGCATTAAAAAGGGACTATAAAATTAGGACCCATTATTGCAAATTCAGGCTCTTTTTTCTCCCAACTTAAACTGTATATACACACTTTGGGATACATAAGAATTACATATATTACACAAATCTTTTTTTGTCATTATCAAATTTGTCTTTTCAAACATTTTGCCTGTTTCACTCACTACAAATTCTTGATGTTCATACACACCGAGAGGTGGGGTTAACACTGAAACTTTTGTGTAGTTCAAGGAGCAACAATACAAGTTTGTCCCTCCATTAACTTTGTTTCATACCTTTTCCAAGACAACATGTTACTGAAGAACTCATCATCTTACGTGCTATTGCAGCTCGCTGACGCACACAAAAAATGGGCTTGTAGTGATCTGAGTACAAAACTGGAGCTGGGAACAACCAAACTAATCCAAACTCTCCCAGCTGACAGTACTCAGCTTCAGCTTCACATTTCATTAACTGTCTGTGAAGTGAGCATAATGGCTCCTATTTTCTACACACAGTTCTTACAAGGATGCAAGAAGTAATATTGCAAGACATTAAGGAATTAAAATAATAACTACTGTTCTGTGGTGGGATTATTAATGTGTGAAATTAGACACTACAAAGAGATGGCCTGGCATCAGTTGCACAGGGAAAAGGAAGCAGGCAACATTTTAGAGGTGGTGGAGTTCAGTTAGTGTTCACTTAACTGCAGACACTCCCAATGGCACTGACAAAAGGGGTAACAGATCAAAGGGATGCTTGTACAAAATACTAACTGCTCTGCAATACACCCAGTTCCTGAAGGTACGAAAAAAAGTGTCTATGGAAGACACTTTGCTTTTGCCACAACTCAGAACAACACTGGAATTCATTAAAAGCGTTTTCACGGACAAAGGCAGACTCTTCTGACGGTTTGCAATTTACCATTGTAACTCCAAAAGCATTTTCTCTTGTTTGGTCTGAAAAACATGATTTTTTAAATTAGTGTTGTCAGTGACTCCTAGATTTGCCCCATCAGGATGATTGATTGTGAACTTGCAGGGTTGTATATTACAAAAGGAGACATTACCATGGAAAGGCGTGCTTAGCGGCACACAATTGCAAACAGTACCTTCAAAGTCTCATCGAATTCTGGATCCACTGTGCTCTTTTTGACAGCTGTCTTCCGCTTACTCCGAGGAGATTTATTGGGAAGTAAGTAAACCTTAACATACCTTGTAGATAGAAGGATATATGGAAAGTGATCAGAAGGAGGGGGAAAAAAAAAAAATCAAACTAAGAAGAAAAATTAATTAGATGAGAGGAGTTTTTTCTTAATTCTTAAACAATTTCATTGACTTTGTAATTTTCCAAGCAATGAAATGGCAAATTGTGATTTATATCCTGTCTCCATAAAAGCAGACAGCCTGTAAGGATCCCTGTATATCATTCAGCTAATGTGTTTCAATCCTATTCTAACTGGGAAAGGGATTAGGATCTGAATAGGAATCTTTTGTTTTCATACTATTGGCCTCTAATAAAATAGCCACCAAGGAAGTCACCTTGTTAGTTGTAGTGGCAGCTTTATGATAAAAACAACCCCGGAAACAAAAAAAAAAAAAAAAAAAAAATCAACTCAATCAACTTTAGGATCATTGCTGCTTGTTCATGAAGAAACCATCTCATCTTTACAAAACCAAGTACCATGTAGCAAAAAAAGGTATAATCATACAAATAATACATAATAATTCATAACTCTTACAAATGCTAACTGTTATAACAGCCACTAGAATGAAAGTGGGAAATTAGTCTCTAAAGTGCTTGAAATTGCCCTAATACTGATTCAATGAAAACCAGTAAAAAAAATTTCTGGAAGCTGAGTTGGACCAATATCAAGCACCAATGATTCCTACCCAAAGTTTCTCATGTATAGGTCACGTGAACGTTAATACTTAAATATTGCCCTTAACATGAGTTCAGTGTGCTGTATTTGTGTTATGGTTTCACAACTAAAGAGTATTGGCAATAGAGAGTGCTTGCTCACAGCTTGGCAGGGAAAGGAGTGATTGTTAACATAACACTAAATATTTTTAAATTATACTTGTATATATTTCAGGTATCATGATTTAAACCAATTTTAAAACAGCCTCTTGATTAACTAACTGGGTAAATAAAATCAGTTGTATCTCATATCGTCAGTGCAGAAATTACACATCTTCCCTATTCTTTCCAAACTCATCCATAGGTAAAACTACTTTTTAAAATATTTAGGTACTAGAAGTTTTAGCCTCTTGCTCTATCATCCCAGATCAATTTAATTAAAAAGTAGCCAGTCAGACCTCAAACCAGTCAACAAGCTAAATAATTCAACAGGTTTTAAACATCAGTTAAGAGTCTGCTTTTCAGCAAATGCGTTAAGTGAATACGCTGACTGTACTTTTTCTGTTGGCTTGGAAACCAACAGAAATATATAAATATATACCAATAGAGAATATAATGTTCACTACACAGCACTTGCCACATTGCCTTTCAGGCTTCCTGCAACTGTTTGCCTGGCTTAATTACCAGGGGACTTAAAGAACCTTGACCCACTTCTGAAGTGCTCCCAAACTGCCCTATTTCATAAGCTGCTGTTCTAGCAAGGCTCTTTCATCACCAAGCTCATCTTTATGAACATCCTCTGCAAGATGTGCAAAAGCCATATTCCTTCTGGGTGAAGGTGACTGCAACTCTACAATTCCAATGTGGTCACTCAAGTGCTCGAACACGGTGTGACAGCAGGGGCAAGAACAGGTAATTAGGTATTCTACCCAGTGATTTTCTATGAATGATTGCTGCATGGTCAGAGAGGATCGTTTAGTAATAAACAGACAAATCACCAAGGCTTAACTATCCAACCAAAAATTTCTATGGCATATTTTATCCACAGAAGTAGGTATTTCTTCCTCTTACAATAATACGTAATTTTGAAACAGCTTTAGATTTTAAAATGTGTTGCAGTATCTGAAATTTCTATTCTTATTACAGAAGATGGAAGCACAGAAGTAGTATAGCAATCACCCAGTGACCCACAGTGAGTCAGTAATTAGGAACATGACATCTCATGTTTTAGCCACTTAAGTATTAATTTTGCAGGCACAATTTAAGAGCTAAAATCTGAACAGCTATTCTTGAGATCCAAAGGTGCTCATCAGCAACACAGATACCCAACTGCCTGGTCACTTTAAAGAGATAATTACTAGCAGAAAATGGTCAGAATGGAATAAGTGCTGGTATGAAACCTATTTGTCTTGCAGCGTGTATATATAAAAAGGGTATATATGTTGGATGTTCTGAAAGTGCTAATATGGCATACCATCATATATCAATCAATTTCAACCACAATATATATCAATCAATTTCAACCACATAAGTAAGTATCTTAAAAACAGAATATTTTCCTTATTTTTTTCTCCTCTACAAAATACTTACGGGTTACACTTTTTCTTCTTCTCTTCTCCATAAGCCAGGTTCTTGCATCCCTTGATGCAAATTTCTAAGATGCAAGCTTTGAAGATGTATCTTATGGCAAACTCTATTTCTCCCATGACATCAGCCTTGCCAAAATTGCCAGACTCAGTGCAAGTGCTGTTAAGACTATATAAACTCCCCTAAGAAAAGACAAATGTTTGGGAAAAGTAGCTGCAGATCAAACAGGACAAAACATTTATTTCCCTCAAAGATCAGTATCTTTACAGACATGACTGTAGAGCTACTGCAAATCATGAAGATTTAAGGTAACCAGCATTCTGTGGCTTCCATTAACAGCCCTGAAAATTATGACTGTAATTGCAATTCTACTGCTTTGCCTTTTTCTCTTCAGTAAGCTCTCTAGGCTAAGAAAAAGCTTTCTTAGGTAACTTCTAGATCTAGAAATTGCCTCCGAATAAAACTGCTGTGTGGCTTCCCATGAGAAAATGGGATAAGTGTCTGAAAGAGAGAGAGTGAAAAAACCTCTGAAACCTAAGAACATACAAAACATTGAACTAGACTGCTTTTAACACATAGCTCATAGTAGGGTACGCTGCCGAGACGTTAGATTCTATCATGTATTAAAGGAAACAAAAGTGGTCTTGCGCTTCCAGTAAATATTCTACAAGATCCCCCAATTCCATGTAAAAATGACATATTCCATACTGCAGCAGACTGTTCAGGAAACATTAAAATACGAAGACATCCAGTTGTCATATGTTGGTGCATAAAGAAGGTGTTTCCTAGCTCACGTCAGCCACTTTGTTCTCTTTTCATCTATGGGGCAAAGGTTTGGATGCTGTCCATCCATGTATACAAACAACATTTGTGTCTAGCATTTACAGAGGCCATGAAACTGCAATGAAGGAAGAGACTAGAATCCTTTCTGTGGCCCAGCACAGACATGTAACTGTATGGTGCTATCTAGCCTTCACTGTAACAAATTACCAACTCAATCAAAATAGTTTGGTCTCCATTCATTTAGAATGATATTCTTTAATGTGAGCCCTAGAAACTTTTTACACAGCATGTGTCACGAAGACACTGTTGTGATTAATCTCACAGCAACATTGCCCTAGATACTGCTAAGATATCTGTGTTAGATCACTCCTCCCTCTGAAAATAAACACCACACCCACACAGGACTGGTTAACCAAGGAGTTCTGCATTGCACAACCCAGCAGCTAAGAGTGCAGAGTAGTGTTTATAAGATCATATCTGTCTTCCATGCAGATGCTCTTCTTCGTTTGTGCAGTTTGCCAAATATTAATTTTAAAATTCACACCAACAGCGTAATTATATTAAAGAAGCTATCTACTCTACCTTATAAGCTCTAAGTAACATACAAACTTGACAAAAGAAGGGTCAGGTGCTTACTGAGGAAGTCACAAGAAGTGTTAGGACTGTTCTTGCAGAATAACAAAACCCTTCAGTTAAATGAAGTTTTAAGAGAAAAGGATAGGTATTAGATTAGAAAGAACCATGTTCATGATACCAACCCTAATATAAAATGGGAAGAATGTTAGTTGCATTTGCAAAATTCAGAGGAAGCTGATCTATCAATTATTCATTATTAATGGGTATATCCATCTATCAATTACCCATTATTAACTTGATTGGGCTTATGCTGCAAAAAGTTCACAGTGTTACTATGAGGACCGTGCCAAAGACAGTCTGTCTTTCATCAGATACAAACTCAAGCAAAATTCTTCCTTCGTTTTGCAATATAATTCAAAATACACCAACATTTTGCACAAGATCTTAGCTTTTATATCTGTCTCCATTAGGCACCTGTTCTGTTGTGCTTCATCCTTCAACTTACATGTTTTCTGCCATCACAGAAAACTGCATCACTTGTGGGACTGGTTGTTATATCTTCTTCCTCCTCGCAATTCCTTTTGGTCAGAATTTCACTGTCATTTTGGGCACCCGTGTTGAGCTGTTGAAGACTGGGTGTACTCTTCATCTGTAAGAAATTCAGCAAGTAATTTTTTTTAGTTTAAGAAAAATGCCCTGATTCCTTCAGGAATGCTATCAGAAGAAAATTCAGTAAATAGCTACAATTCACTCTGATCAATGTCACGCAGGTGGCACACTTTCGAAGACAATGTAGTAACTTAATTTAAATGTTGATTTACAACTCTCTCATGCCAGCTAGTAGTACATTCATTATATTAATAATTTTCTAAAATCAACATACCATCACCTAATCTAAGGATCGCTACCACAGCAATTACTAACAAGTCTACTAGTAACACACCAAAAGTAGCAATATACTAATAAAAGGCCTTATTAGCATTTAACAAAACAGTAATTTTGCAAGAAAAAAAAAATCTTGCCTCCAGGAAATTAAAAAAAAATAAAAATAGTATTTTGCAATATGCATGACACTTGCCTATGTCTACCTATGCAAGAATGAATATAGATTGAAAGAGACTTGAAAATAGAAAGACTCACAAGTTCTTATTTAGCTTTGATTATAGAAAAAATTTAAGTTTCTGAGGTGTTCGTGACTAAAAGTCCATTCACCTTTCTAATCTTCCCATGAAAACCCTGATAATTTGTGGAAAATTAAGATATATAGTAGCAAAACTCCCTGAGATTTACCTTGAGCCACCTCTGTTACCAATAAGAACAGTTAATAGAGCAAAGTGCCAAAAGACTAATACATATGGCTAGAGATATGCTGAAAATAGATTTTAGCTCATTCTGGCACACCACTACCCCTGGATAATACAATCTATGAAAAGTATGTTCACAGTTCAATGGGTAGGAAAAGGGTGAGGTAAGAAATTTTACAGGGTTAGGATCTAAGAAAGTAATTTCTTCAAAAAAATTGCATAACAGGGATTACCTGAAAGACTAGAAAGAATATAGTGTGACCAAATCAACAAAAGGATTGGGACTTATTTGCATAGAAGAAACAGATTATATATATTTAACAGACCTGGGAACCCCTCTTGCACCATCAGCAGAAAGCACTAAAGAATGAGGACAACGAAGGAGATAATATATTGAGATTACTTCTGAAAAAACAGGATGTGCAAAATCCAAACCAGTATGCTGTTATTATAACACACAGAAATGGTTATGTGTAATAACTGCCCTATCTTAAGAATAGATATAAGATTTCATTAAGTACCCTTGTGAGAAGGAAACAGACAGAAAATGCATTCAGAATATAGTCTCAAAAAAAGCCCAAACAAAACCAAAACATCATCATATTTCTCAGGAGAGAAATTGTCTTCCGCTTTTTAAAAACCTGAAACACTACCAATTTCACTTGCTAAACAAAACAACGTACTACACACTGAATTTTAGTTACTACGTGGATCAGAAAGACTTCTCTATTGTGTTAAACAGAATGTAAGTGATTGACAAGGCAACATAACTACCAGTGCTAAATTTAGCATCAGGTCACATAAGCAAGACTCCCACCTAGCCGAGCTCTAATGTCTGCAGCAGCATGCATCCACTGTCACAGGAGGGGTAACCCACAGCTACCGACGCACCACAAACAGCTTCCAAAGCTTGCAAGTCTGCCTGTTCCCCCAGTGAGGCAGGTATAATTGCAGTTCCTTTAATGAACTTAGGGATTCTGACGGTGAGAGGTCCTAGAAAACACTGTTCATTTAACTTCCTAAATCCAGATTTTACACTGGCTGGTAGTTCTTGCCATTGGATTGTTTTTTCACTATTACTGAAGTTAAGTATAATCTCTTTCAACTGTAATCTGAAGGAATCAAGCTCTGAGCACATCACAAATTTGGAAAACTTACTTAAGAAACAGATAGTGCTCTTGAAACTGAAGTGGTGCCCCAGTCTTATACCCTGCACATTCAAAATGGCAGAGTTACAGCTATTCCAAGGAGAAAAACGCATGCTTTCTAGGGGAAAAAAATACTGTTTCGATTCGTTCTCCGAAAATGAAAGTTCTTTCTGGGGTGGAAATCACAACAAGTAAGATTTCTACATCATATTTTGTTATAAATTTGAATAATTAGTTGTTTTGCAAGTGTAATTTAAAACAAGTTCTGTCCCTAAACTTAAGTCATAGTTCTAGTAAGGATGTAAACAGCTACCCTTACTAAAGGAAAACAAAGATGAAAAAGAAAAAAATAAATGGAAGAATAATGCAGTAGTGCCACTGACAGAGATTAAAAATAATTTTTAAAATCACAGTAAAGATACAAAAAGCCATCATATAAGTGCAGAGACAGACGAGTACAATTTGCTTCAATGTTAAAAAAAACTAAATGGCAAAGATGACATTCACAAGAAAAAAAGATCAACAGTAATTCTAGCAAAACTAAAATTGAAGCTTAAATATAGTCTAATTGGTTTGAATGAAACAAAAGCTCCCTGACTCAGAGAAACAGAGCTCTGACACACAAACAACATTGAAATCTATCTTTCAAAATGCAAAGGGTGGACATAAATTAAGTCCTAAATCTTTAAATGGGCAATTAAAAATCCACAAAAATAATCTGGAATCTCCTACTAATACATTTCTCAAGCCAAAGAATCCATATCCAATCTTTTAAACATGACAGGCTGTGTGTGATCAGCATGCAATGAAGCATAGTTTAAGTTCATATTATCTCCAACTCCAATGTTTTTTGATGCATTAAAAGAGCAGTGCTCTGCCCATGGAATAAAGTAACATTGAAGTGTGGTTTGCCACAATGAAAGCAGCACTCTGGTAGTTAATAATTGTTGCCAATTCTGTTTATAATATAATTGCATACAAAAATACCAGAACTAATTTCGCAGAGTTCACAGACCTTGCTGGGCCAATTCAAACCACTCGTCCATGCGGTCTGACATCCTGTCTGTTCCATTTATCAACACCTAACACTTCAGAGGAAAGTGAAAAGCGTGCACCAAGGGAGCTGTGAGTAATATTTGCCATGAGGTCTGGCTCAAAGCAAAAGCTTTTCTCAGCATCTAATTCAGGCACTTAGCAGACCACATATACCTCATTCAGATGAACAAGGCGATTCAGTAAGTACCCACTATGTGGAAAATGGAGTATGGACAAAGTTCAGACACTTGAAAGTGTACAAAACAAAATCTTCAGTGTAACTTTAAAGCAGATATGTGACATCACCTTCAGCCCTGCACAATTTGTGGAAAAACAGATGACTGGATTTTTCTCAGACTTCTCAAGAAAACACTGAAAGCTAGAGACTGTAACCAAAGCAAAAGGAAAAGGGAAGTTGCCCAACAACTAACAGCAGTCAACATTTTCTCCTTGCCAAATTAAAAAGTGCTCAGAAAGTGTCAGGATGGGTTTTGTTTCAGCAGCAAGAGGGGCAGGAGGAGGACAAGAGACAGAGCATCTCCCTGCAGCCCAACAATCACAGAGAGCAGACATCAATCAGCCTCGAAAGAGTCTGTGAGCGCCTGAAAGCAAAATGACTCATCCTCTCCCTCCCTATGTGAGGGTCTTTGTAAAATCTCAGTCTAACATTTCAGCTCTGGAATGAGATCCAGTGTGCAGACTCAGTCAAAAACCTCGTGAAAAATCAGAGTTCTGGCCACTGTTAGTGAACATCAGCTAAGCCCTGCTGTTATAATAAAAGTAAAATTCCACTTTGTAAGTCATTATTCTTACAAATATATTCCACTCCTGAAACAGCCCTTACAGTTAGAGACTGTGTATAATAATATGGATACCCTGCTTGTAATATTGATGGCAGTGTCAGACTGGCTCCTTCTTTGCTTCCTTCTTTCCACGTTCTGCCCATAATCTGTGGTTAGGAGACGTCTGTCAGCCATATCATTCTGGGACTTAGAGATTTCTGAAGTGAAAATAAAGAGAGAAGTCATTATAACAAACATTGCAAGCAATCCTGTAGATTTATAGGCTAATTCTGTAGCTTTCAAACTTTCATCCTGCAATTTTAGTGCTGATCTCCTAAGAGTAAGAAACAGATGGAAGGCAAGCACTTGTCCCATTTTGTATAATTATATTTTGCCTACCTAAATCTTTCTTGCTGCTTCAACTGGAAATTTTACTCCTTGCTTCCTATCATTATAGCTGCTGCAAGGAATTGTTGTATGATATCAAATAGAGTTTCCTTGCAGAAGCAGCTACTACAGTCCCTACACATAGTTTGATTTGTAAAGCAGTTTGGTTTGGTTCAGGATAAAAGCAAGATCATTATAACAACATAAAGTGACACGACAATGGAAATTAGAAAGCAGAGCATACTGGAAAATATTTAGAAATTTATCCAAAATATGGATGAAAGGAGAGATATTACATACTCTGGTCCCAAGCCACATATAATTTTAAGAGCATGAGTAGCCCTCATTGACTTCAATAACATTACTCATATGGATAAGCTTATGTCCATACTTATGTACCTTATTGAATTAGCACTTCAGTAACATCTAGCTTATTGTCAAATAAATCTATAGGACAATTGGACATTTAGTGCACCACTTTTTGCTTCTTACTTCTCAGGGTACAGTCAGAACTTCACTTACAGGGAAGGGCAGCACTCATCCGTGATTTCTGAAGTTGAAAACTAGCAGGCTTAGCAGCAGACACTTTGTTGTAAATCCCAGATAGCCTCTCATAAAAAATTAATAACTTATAAGCGGTACATGAAATAGCTATCTTATGTTTAATTCATACAGAAGACATAAATGTTTCTCTCACAACATGAGCCTCTGTGGAGGAACCTCAGACAGCAGACAATATGTCGTTACGGTATTCAAAAACAATGGCACTCTTAAATGTGATTTTTAAAGCCACTTTGAGTTAGTTTTGTTCTTAGCAGCAATCAGTCCTCAGATGTTTACTGTACTCTGTGTGCACCATTAAGGCACCATGTGACATACTCATCCCTGACTGTAAATGAAACCAGGTTTTTAAAATACACAGTGACATCAGAGATCATAAAAGAGACTGGAGTGAGAGATCTAATGGAGTAGATACAATCTGAGTAGCTTGACCAGCAGTAGAAGCAGAAACACAAGCTTGCTCATGCTCTTTTAAAATGAACAGGTTACAGAACAGGTTACTGTGAGAAAGAAATGATTGTTCAGTTTTCATATCTATTCCCCCTTTGGCTTCTCTACTCAAATGGTCAGTAAGATGGACACTATCTCTAGTGCCAAGGGCGATTTTGCACTGCAAATAAAACTACAACCAGCAACTCATTTTACATTCACCAAATGGCAACCATTGGATTATAATCTCCTGTTGCTGCCAAACCACGCTGGAACAGGAGGTAACAGCATACAGAGCAGACTGTACAACACTGGCATTGTGCTGCATGCACTAATCCTTTGTTCCCGCTACTCTCACACACACACACTAGTTCCAGTGATAGAGTCAGAGGTATAACAAGGTTTATTTACTACAATACACAAGAGCTGGGTGTATTAAATACCTCTGCAAACCAGGACATTTTTTATTCAGATAAGATACAGAGTACTAACTTTAGACACTCATGACCGAAAGCATTTATCAGCACAGTACCAGGTTTCATTAAGAGGCCATATTGTCCGAAAGAGCTGTTTTCTTCAGTCAAGAAGCCCAAGTCTTTCTCTCTTTAAGACTTCCTATACTTTTTAATTATTGACTTCAGTGATTGCAACAGCCTGTTATTTTCTCACAAATGAAAAGGTTCTACCCTAACTGAGAATGATAGCACCTGCGTGGGGTTTCACATACAGCTGAACTGAGCTAACAACTTGCTGCCATCCCCCTCTGCAACCACTGCTCTTCCCTCCTCAATCCCTAGCTCCTGGCCACATGGCCCAGCACCCTCTGTTGTGCAGGCTCCAACATATATACCCTACCTTGAGCCTATTTAACTCACTAAACCAGCAGAAAAGTACCTATGTGTTTTGTCTGGGTTAATGTTCTGCCCTTTTAATTAGCTAAATCAGTTTCCAGAGGGGTCCAGAAACACTGGTGTTAATTCAAGTTAAGCGATGGCAGCATAAGGCCAGAAACAGAGAAAGAAGCAAGACTTGGGGGGAGTAGTACCTTCCTTTTGGTAGCAGTGAACTATTAAATTAGCTTGCTGCAGTCCTGACAGTCTTTACCAGTAACTGTGGGATATGACCAGGCTTCAAACTACCAGAAAGCAAAATAAATTACTTTGCATCTAATTCTGTGCTGCCTCAGCTATCCGCTTCCAGTAACAAAGTATCCTATGCCACCCTACACTGCGTTGCCGAGGGCCCTTGTGTCTTTGCATAGCTTTAATATGTGTTCACACAGACACACACTACATTTGTGTAGTTAAAGGAGAACAGGCCTTTAGGATGGGTGGAAGAAGTTAGAGGAAAGACCAAACAAGAGCTAAGACAAGAGTTAGGGGGAAAGGCAGAAAGGCACTAAAGCCAAATTTATTCAGGTCTAATCTCACATTTGGGGTTGTTTAAGACGAGGCTAGTAAGAAAACACTAAGGTTCATTCAAATACATGCAAATCTGCAAGCCCCTGTAATCTTCATAAGGCTCAGAAGTTGTTTTCCTCTGGTCACTGATGCCTTTAATTTGTTCTTCACAAAGGCTGGCCGTCCTCAGTGTAGTTAGCCTTAGAGGTGCATACACAGTCTGCACCCTAAAGAACAGCAGGCAGCATAATGAATGGAAGGAACCAAGAGTATCAGAATGAAAGAAGAGTTGTTAGGACTGGCTGGTTCTTAGAAATATGCACTGAAAAAACCCACACAACCAGACAGACTGAGAAAGAGGAAGGAAGTCCTCTTGAAAAGTGCTAGCGAATGAAAACATTAAACTCTATTTCCATTACATGATAGATTCTTTGACAGGGTCAGTTGGGGTTCAGTCAGATAGATAACACAAAGATCACTACAGTAGAAAGTGGTTATTACACTGTGCTAACATGAGTTAAATATACTGCATCTGAACACCGAGTAAACTTTAAAATAACATTATACAGTCTTTTCACATCTTTACAAGAAAGGCATTCTGGGTTGGTATCATCAGCTTGTTAAACAACTAGCAGAACGCTGAAGGAGAGTTAGACTTACTGTATTATTTTTCAGGTTGGCTCAGTCTTGGCATTAGTCATTTCAGCCATTACTTAATACCCTTTGTTTATAACTATTTTTTGGCCAATACTTTGGCAAAAAGATTGAAACATTTGACTACGTTACTCTAGAATGACAAAGCAGTGAAAGCTACTTACTTTTTATATGGGTTGTGAGAGACAAAAACAAGTTTTCCACAGATTTATTAAAACTTTTAGACTGTCTGAGTTCCTGCAAATGGGAGATGCCAAGAGTAAGAAAACACAAAATACATGCTATTTTAAAGTTTCCATGATCACATACCTACAGACCACATAACAATCAGATGGTAAGGCTGCAGCCCTTTGTTCACTTCTGTAGACAAATACATCTGAGGACATATGTTGACATGGTTGAAAACTGTCACACTAATGTATGGAGATGGAAAATAACCTTTTCAGTTTCATACTCTTTGATATATAACTGGAACTCCTTGTAGGAAGATCACATAGCAATTTCGTAAATAAAACTAATTACACCACTGATTTGTTGTAATGTATTTAATACTTCAGGTAGAAAAGTCTTATCTATTACAGATGCTCCTGTGCCTCTGAATCAAAGAGTTTTCATCAAACTCCAGGTAAGCACATATTAGAATGTTTACAGAATTGCAATGGGCTTCAAAACGAGGGCCTGAGGACCCAGTCCAAAATGAACTGAAATAGCAATTTAGTGCTATTTCGATGAGTTCTGAGCCATGTCCTACTATTCTGTCCACTAGAAACTGTATTGCAAAGGCAACCATCAAATTCACTGTTTTTCACTCAGTAATGAAAGTAACACATGGAATGATTGCTTTATAAATGACTATTGAATATCATAGGATCATGGGATCCTTCAGGCTGGAGTGGAGCTCAGAAGATGTCAGTCCAGCCTTCCTGTAGCGAGGCACCAAAAACTGGGTGCCAGTATTCTAGTGCCAAGTAGACAGGGTTAATCACTTCCCTCAAAAACTGAAAACTAACTGAAAACATCCCTCATTATAGACTCTGACCTTTCTCTCCTACTACCAATGCAGCATAAAAAAAAAGACAAAGGAACATAAGGCAGCATTTATATTGCAATACGATGCTACAGCAGTTGCTATTTACTGCATTTCTGTGGCTGGCCTTTTCATATGAATGACACCTTAAGAGGTGGGTGTATATGTATCTTTTGCAGATATGTACATTTACCGTCACGTTGCTTCCTGCTGTGGATTCTATGAAAGGAGGTGGAGTTGGAGGTACGACAGAAATTTTACTAGAAATTTAAGAGACAATAAACAGTGCAACAATTAATATATTATGCTAATAGACAGACAAATGAACCACATTCATGCACAGTATCTTTATTATCTGTCTTCCCTGCAATCTAAAGATCTGGGTTGAGATCCTGTGTCTTTAAGAGTTGCAGCACAGGCTTATTGCCTGTTTGTAAGAGTTAGGACAACCTTTCTATCTTCTCAATCTTGGGCTGCTCCAGGCAGAATTATTAATTTAAAACAATCAGGAAGACCTAATTTAGGACAGGCTTCCTAGACTTCTAGGAAGTATTACAATCTGCGTCCCGAATGTTAAAACACAATTTGTGTGTAACGCACCGCACCTCTGTTCAGAGATGTTTTCAGAAAACAGTCATCTTTCTTTACAATACTAAAAGGATCCCTCCTTGCCTGGGCCCAGAGCTGTTAGAGCCCCTTTACAGCATTCCAGCCATTTCATCTGTTGTAAATAGCCCAGGTCTGTGAAAGAAATCTAACTGTTACCTGACTGAATCTGTTATCACAGCACAGTCATGGACCCTAAAGGCAGCCGGTGAACTTCCTTTTTGATTCTCTTTTACCACATCTAGGTAAAAGTAAGTCCTTATGCAGCCTTGGTTAGGATCACATCTAGCTGATTATAAGTTTCTATCTTACGCAGCTATGCCTTGACAGATAATTATCATAAAATTGAGGCCATCTCTTTGCATCTTATTTTACTTTTTTTTTTTTTAAAGGAAGAAAGTTTCTTTTATACAATATAGTTTAAGTAGACTTATTTCATTATATATCACTGGTAATAAGTTAAGTATGGTCATGCTTAGGCCTCATGTCACAGTATTTATTCAGTGTAAACTGGATTTTTTACTTGTTCTAAGTTTTGGTAAGTGGACACGCCTTACTGAATACAGAGCTTCTTGTCTACTATTTAGTCTAAAGCTATCAAATCAGCAATATCTCCCATTGAGCAAATGATGCTGCTATTGCTATTATACCTAGTAAATAATTTTCATCTCTGATCATTCAAAAGTAGTGTGTAAATTTGAAAGATAATGGTGTAAACAGGTATGCAAAAAATATAAGCAGATATAATAAAAATACTGCACATCCCTTCATTTCAAGTAGGTAAGAAACTATTACTCTAAACATAGTACTCTCTTTTGTACTTGAGACCCTTTCTATGGATTGCTGAGAGATAAAAATAGTAATTTTTCTATGCTTTTATCATTTGTACTCCTAAAGTATTGAAATTCGTTTTTCATAATAAAAAAATACAAACAGCTGGCTGGTTTATAACATACAATGTATCGCCTATACAAACTCTCAGTGTCCTAGGATTATTTGTCCTTTTATGAGTCTTACCTCAGTTTCTGATAAGATTGCAAGAGCTTTGCACCAACTGTTTCATGTCTGCCTGTGAAGGAGGAAAAAAAAAAACACCCAAAGGTCATTCAGCAACAACAGCAGTTACTAATGCCTAAATAATACTTTTTAAAATCAGTGCCTTTTCAGGAACTGATTTACAGAAGCTCATGTACATGCAAGTCAGGAGTGGAATCAGCCCCGACCTGACATATCGGCGTACATGCCAAGCAACACGCAAGTTTCTTCTGTACCACAAACTCTATCATGATTTCACCTTCACCACTCACAGGTGACACGTTCAGACCAGCTCTTCACAAATGCTGAGGGCAATCACGTACGGGTGCTAACAGGCCCATTCCTACAGGTTGCTAAGTGCTCTCAGCCTCCTGAGGTCCAGGAGGCAGGTAGTGCATGGGCCCATTGCACTGAAGCACACTTCAACCATAAAACTCAAACACTATGGAGAGCTTGAAAATGTGTCCAAGAGTAGGCACATGGTCATCTCTTGCATCTTATGAAAAATTCTTTTCACTTTTCCTACTAGAGATCTGAACAATCATGAAAACGCATGACTAGTTCACAAACATGAACAAACCCCTTTGCTAAGGCCATTCCTGCGGGGAAATAGCAACCATGACACGTTCCTCAGGTGAGCAGCCACATGATGTAAAGAACACCAAGGAGCAAGCGCTCCATCAGGCACGAACAATGAAGACTCATAAAAATGTAGTTTGCTCCTGAGTGACTGCCAACAGAAAGAAGGGCCAAATGCATGTAACAAATGGCCAACTGAAAATATCTGGAGTGGCTTTAGTCACTAATCATTCCTAATATAGAAAGCAGCATGTGATCTATGCTTTGCTGAAGATATCATTAACTATAATATATTACTTATATATAAGTAGCAGACCTTAGTGGTGGTAAAAACAATAATCAACTTATTAATGTTACAAATTTCAGTTAGAACTCCAGACTTAATGCTCTGTTATTAATAAGTAATATTTGGTATCTTGATTTATTGCAGCATTAATTAATTTCTTAGATTTTTAATTTATTAGTCACTAAGGCAACCTACCACTTCTATGAAAATATGATTTTTATTCTTTAGGTAGAAGCTACACAAAATTAATAAAAAGCATACTGATGTAACTTTTTTTTTTAACTCCGCAACACGAGAAAACTTCACTGTAACATGTATTTTTTCAGTTAAACTTACTTTACAGTGAATACTTCGCTTGTGTTACATTTTCAAACCAAAAGAGGGCACTGTCTCTCCAGGTTTGAAGGATATATACTACGGCTGCTGTTTCAAAAGTTTGCCATTTTTTAACCCCTTTAATTACATCAGTTGGTCTAATCAAACGAAGTAAAAAAACCCTATTTCTCCCTGCAAGCTCATCTTCTGTATATCCTTAGATCCTTGTGACTTCAACAGTATTACTATTAGACTAACTAAGCAAAATGCTTCAAGCACCCACAAAGCTTTGATAATGCAAGGTGAGAATTCATTTACTTTACTGGAAAGAGGGACAGTCAGTATCTTGCAATATCAGATTCAGTGTCTGAGAACAACATAGCATTTTCCAATAACTGAGAGAGATTGTTAAAATTACTGGCTTTACACTTGCTGAAAAGAATATGAGGGAAAATTATTAACAATGGTCATGGGATACAAGAGTGCTTTAAAAGATCAGTCAACTAATACCTAAAATCAGAAATTGTGTTAGGTCGAATGGAATTCAGTGAAATCTTTCAAATTTTAAATTAATTGTTTTAGCAGGAACTGTAGTTCAGTTTCTTAACATGCTACCTGCTGTCTTTCGTGAATACCTACTACCCAAAATTTGCCTGATTACGTTTTTCCATTTATAAACTTTTTCCTATTCAAGTTTCCCAAGAGATATTTAAGGTCCAGTGCTTTCCTTTTTACCAGCTGTTCTTAAATCTAGATACCATGCAGATACTGGAAATGAAACCGTAACATTTAGCTACAGACAGGCACGAAGTGAAATAGTTAAAGAGGAAGGAAATCCTCTCCCCCTTCCTAGTCATTGTAGGTGAAAACGAAGACTAACAGCCCCTTCTTTGGTAAAACACATTCTCCATAGGGCAATCCATCCACATCCTCTATAATTTGTTTTAGGGCCTTGTATTTTTAATTGCACAGAAAAGACTGAACACAAGGCAACGGCACAGCTGGCTTAAAGTAAAGAAGCAGTAAGCTTTTAGCTCTCTGTTGATTTATAGCTATACATGTTTTTCTTTATCCCATTCAGTCATTTCTTTAAGCTTTAGAACTTTCTCAGTGAAAACAACTAAAGTTTTAACTTTGACAGACAATAGATGCAAGATCATTTCCTTCCTGCACATATATTTTAACATTTCTATATTTATTTCATGTCATTGTATAGAAGCCTTACATGCTTATTAATTCAAATTGATATGGCCAGCAATTTTCTTATTCTTATTACTTATACAAAATAAAGTATACTTTTAAATGCATTCTGCTAGTTTGTGTTTGTGTTTTATTTAGTGCATGGACAAACGCACTGCATGAGAATTTCTGACAAATCTCTCACCAAGTGGAAGAAAGATTAAATACAGTGGCAGACTACATTCTGTGTTTCTCTTAGATTAGGACATCACACAGCAGTTTATGGTCTGTTCCAACGATTACCTTCACCTGGATATTTCTTTGCTCGTTCCTCGAAGAACCATTCACCAGCCTTTACTTTCACATCTCTGAAAAACACGCAAAAGACATTTGAATCAACATTTTCCAAACTGCATTTCTTCAAATGTTTGATAACTGTTTAACAATCCAACAATCCTTCTTGATCCTACCATAAAACTAGGATTTCATGACTGCTCACTCCATTGACTGATTTTGCTGTGCATCTGCAAACAAAGGATTCCTCCCCTCCATTATTTTTTTTCCCCCTTTTTGCTATGTAGGACTGCCCATGGAAAGCAATAAATGCTGCTCTAGGCATTGCTCTGAAGCCAGGAGTCCTGGGTCCACTCCAGTCCATACAACCAACTTGCATAACAGCCCCAGGCCACTTGTGCTGACACCACTGCTTACAGCTGCAGCCCAGCCTGAGGAGCAGGGAAAGTCAATGATAGAGGATACTCTCCCAAGCAGAACTTGGGATGGCTACCAGGGAGCACTGAGCTCCACAACCCTGATGGTGTGACTGCTTCACAGCCCATCTCTCTCCGTTTTGTGGAGACTAACATCAATGATGTCCACATCATACATAGGCACCAGGATCACAGGATCAGAAAAGTAACGATTAACAAGTATAAAATTATATCAGACTAAATAGCTCTGTCAAGAGCAGTTTTTCAGCAGATTGACTCTTGCATTTTGTTGCCTCCAACTGAATTAGATGAAGTCTGCAATCTGAACTAATCCATTATTAAGGAGGCAAAAAAAATCTTTAACTGAGGATAGGATTCTCTGGAGTCTTCAGTTTCCAAATTCTCATCTAAATGTCTTACTAATTTTGGGGGCATATATAATATCTCTGTTCCTTAGGGATTTTCTGATGCTTATTGTAGGATGAAGTCCCACTGCAAAAATTTCCTCAGTGCAGGCACTGCTAAACTTTCTTCTCTACCCAGTAGTTCATTTTCCTTCTATGAATCTCTTTATTACCATTCCCTCTGCCAAACTTGCTTGAAATTGGCAACAACATACAGACAGTAAATTCATGTAGGGCTTGCCTCCTTAAGAAAACAAAATCTCTAAACACGAGAGCTATACTGATATCCACCAAAGGCCAGGCAACAAAACCCCTGGGTCTGCCATTTCACACCTCACCTTACTCTACGTTAAATAGACAAACTATAGGTAGGATGCTGTTTGTTCTTTCTGTGGCTTGATTTTAAGGCATTTTAGGCATTTAAAATACACCTTTGTAAGTAGCAATGCAGAATATTAAAAAAATTCACTACCTGTGTAGATTGTACTATTTATTTACATGCCTAACCATAGATCCTTGTGCATAACTGAACACAGATGAGTTTGAAAATTAGGTTAAAATAACTTTGAGACAGGATACTTATTTACTTTGGATGGATCTATTAACTAATAAATGTCTGAAATCTCTGGCTGCACTAGATCTTCAAGGGCTCTGCATAGGTAGTGCCTCGATTCTCATCTCCAGCCTTCCCTTTATGTTCTTCCCACTACCCATGGTTACCTTCCCGGAGTTTAATCTCCAGTTCTGCCAGGCTCATGTGATGATTAGACCACTCACAGGATGAAAACAGATCTGGAAATACCCTGGTTGATTGGTTTTTTTGGTTTTTTGGGGTTTTTTTTAGGCTGAAGAGTGTATTAAGCTAAGGTATGACCAAATGTGTGACAACGAAGCTGATAAAGAATTATCCTTGTCAGGTAAAATAGACTAACCACCTTCAAAGCAAATGTCTTTCTAGACTCCTAGAAGACACGATTCCCTTAAAAAACACACTATTTAAGAGATGCCTCTTCCTGGTGAAAGATACAAACTTTGTCAGTCCACAAGGCTTTTTAAATATACTCTAGTGGTAACCAAGGCTCAAAATTACGGTTGCTCAGGACTTGAAAATCAGCTCTTAAGTTTCTTAATTACCCTATTTTTCCCTCACTGGAGTAAACAAAAGGTGCTGAGTAGCATTTACCACACTGCTGCACTCCCTACCCTTCTTGAGATTTGCAGCCTTGATATAAAGCTCACTGAAGGCAACGGAAAAAGCCTGACTGATTTTAACGGACTTTGCATCGTGACTAAACAAGATCAAATGTGCTGTCTCTTTGCTATAAAGAGAATTTCAATGACAGCTGAAGAATTCCTCTACATTAGCAAGACAAAAAAAGTAATTTCCTCAAGAAAAAGTAAAAATGTGCTTTAATTCATTTAAATAATGCTTTCCTGGTTTTACCATTAAATATCTGGACAAGCTTTTGAAATAATTAAGTGTGCGCGGCACTATACAAGGCAGCTTAACAACTAGGTACTCTCTAGAGGGGATTTCCACTGTGGCCACCAAATAACTGGAAACCAATTTAAAAGAAAAGGAAGTGGAGGGAGGTATCTAGAAGAGAATACGGAAAGCTAACTTTTTAACCTTTCCTTTTAGTGCTTATAGTGTGAAGCACAGATAGTGAAATATACGCATCAAAATTAAATAACTGCTTTGTATCAAATATAGATGGAGCTAATCTGCCTATTTTATGTACAAATCGCAAAATAAACTGAGGATTCGGAGAACACATTTTTAGTGATAGTTCATAGTCTCTTCCAAACTATAGAAAATTACTTCAAACTAGTAGTAGAAATTCATTTAGCTTAAGAACAACACCTTGCCTTACATTTCTCAGGCATTATTTAAATCTCATTTTGGCATCCTAAGAGGGAGTAAAGTGGTGCATTAATCTTGTGTTGGCATAAAGTAAAATTTCATCCAAATCCTTACCCTTTGTACAGGGATATATAGCATCCATCACAGCTGTTGATTCATTTTCAAAACTATCTTTCTTTGTCTACATAATATTATTTTTCAACCAAGGTGGAAATATAGCTAAACCATTTGGTTTAGAAAGGTTCTGATGAATAGGAGGGACTATGATGGAGTATTTTGATATAAAAATGGTACCAATACAGTAAAAGAAAGATTGTTTCCTGGAAAACAAAATCAAGGTGACATAGTAAAAGAAAAAAGAACTAATTCAAAGTAAATGAATTTGGATTTCTGACTGCGTTTAAACAATTCCTGATAATGTTATTAATGCTTTTTGCTTTTTAAACGTATATGAAACATGACTTCAAATCATTCATCAATCCAGGTTCCTCACTTCTGTAGTATGAGGCAAAAAAATCATGATTAGGAAATTGTCAAGAAATTGGCTATTATTATGGTTTAACCTGGCAGGCAGCCAAACACCACACAGTCGCTTGCTCACTCCCCCCACCTCCAGTGGGATGGGGAAGAGAATCGGAAAAAAAGTAAAACTCGTGGGTTGAGATAAGAACAGTTTAACAAAACAGAAAAGGGAGGGAAAATAATAATAATAATAATGATGATAGAATATACAAAATAAGTGATGCACAATACAATTGCTCACCACCTGCCGACCGATACCCAGCCAGTTCCTGAGCAGCGGTCGCTGCTCCCCGGCCAACTCCCTCAGCTTATATACTGAGCATGATGTCATATGGTATGGAAAACCCCATTGGCCAGTTGGGTCAGCTGTCCTGGCTGTGCTCCCTCCCAGCTTCTTGTGCACCTGGCAGAGCATGGGAAGCTGAAAAGTCCTTGACTATGTAAACATTACTCAGCAACAACTAAAACATCAGTGTGTTATCAATATTATTCTCATACCAAATCCAAAACACAGCACTATACCAGCTACTAGGAAGAAAACTAACTCTATCCCAGCCGAAACCAGGACAGCTATACTACACCAAAACACAGCACCTTCAGCAACTTGTTATGATGCACCAGTTCAGTATTGAGTCAGGGGAAGGAGTTCTATCTACAGTTCAGAAACTAACAACTGTTCCTATGTTTTGCCATTATCATCTTTGCCACACTATCTCTGGCCTACCCTGAGGATCCGTTTTGCTAAGTACAGGAAGGGAAATCCTGACTACATGAAGTATAACGCAAAATTCCCATCAATTTCATTGCTACCAGGACTTCATCCAACATTTTCATTCCACCAGAGGCTTTGTTTCATTAATTGTTTAAATCAACAGATACACACAAAACCAGTGTGCATCCACCAGATAACCAGTGTAAACCAGCACTTATCCAAACCAGTGAAATTTCTTACCCATGAGCGTAACAAACAGTGCATTTCCAAAGGCATGGATTCAGGCAGACACGGCATTCAGAGCACACGCGATGGCTGCACCCATTGCATACTGCACCTCTGTTCATCAATAACCCAAGCGATTTCTGACAGCGAGCACAAGATCTCTCCTGGTATTCATGGCTTACATTTCTTGCCCCTTTCCACCGAAGCTGCTGCAGCTGCAGTTTCAGTTTCCTAATCCCCCAGGTAAAGAAAAAAAAAGATAAAAAAATTAAATAGACCAAAACCCCCATGTAAGTTACGAGCTAATACCCCTGTTGTGCAATATCATTACTAATGGGAGATACGCCCTTAAGTTTGACCTCAATTGAGCACTGTCTGAAGGCATCTACACACAGCATTTTTGCACTGTGACTGTATATGCAACCGCAATTGTGCATATAAACAGAGTAATAGTCTAGTATAAATGGTGTTCATGTCAGTTACGCACGCTCAGGGCAGGGCACCAAAATTGTGTATGCAAGTGATTATGTATTCACATACAAAAACAGAGACTAAATGGTGCTCCCTTTCATTTGATGATGTTTTTTGTCATATCTATCCAAAAATCAAATCTTTTATCAAGTACAAATAATCATAACAAATGCATCATCTGAAAGTTAAATAAAAAACACATCGGACCAAAATATCGAAACATCTCCCTTTCATTAACTTTGCTTCCATTACATGTACCAATAATCAAAATCTATGCTTTTAATTGTTAGCTACATCATCAATAGTCATCAGGGATTTTCTAACCAATTCAGACTTTTTTTATAACCGTTTACTTACGTTTCACAATCATTTAATATGTTCAGCAATACTTCCATAAATCTTTGCTGTAAACAAACTTTAAGTTTCTACATTTAACAGACTAAAAATTTCTAACTTAGCAACACAAATACCCTGTTTTACATCGGGATGCAACACGATAAAGCAGGGTACAAGCTGCAAGGAAATCCTTGCCCTAGCCCTGATATAAAGCAAATAAAATGCTGGAGGATTATCCCTTATCCTTCACGATTGAGATACTTGCATAGTGTGAAATAATTAAATAGAATCCTTTTCCTAACCAATGACACCTATTGACACTAGTAACAACCTCCGAGACAGTGTGGTGTGCTTGCAAGCTGTTGTATGTGAGAAGGGACACCGATGGATTCAGCACAATGAGCATGTATCCAATGATTCTTAACTCCATTCTTGACACACCGTAAGTTAAATAAGCCAGCCAAAGATCTGAACACGTTCTGTGTTACAAGGACTATATAGGCATACATAGGAACATGATGCGAATGCTATAAAGCCTTCATAGAAAAAATACAGGCAGCAACTGAACTTTCTATGAAGGCTAGAAATAAAATTCATCAAACAGATTATTCACTGAACAGTATTTGCTCATCTTTACTGTAGAATAGTCAACAGTATGGTAAATCCAAGAGGCTCTGTATAACCCTTAGTTTTCCCAAAGAATAAAAAGGCATTAGCTAACAACAAGTTAAAAAAAGGAATACATTTGGAAGGACAGCAAAGAGGAAGAGTACTTCTGAGAAAAAAGGAAGAGAAATACAGGAATAGGGGAACAGCAGATACCTTATTCTTTCCTCTTCTGTTTTTCTCACCATCTGGTCACGGTACAGGACTTCCAGAACAGCCTCTCGTTCCAATTCCTTAAGGAAGTTTAGATTAAATTCACAGGCCATTTTCCCCAAACTTCACTTATTTTGTAGACTCCTGTCCTATGGTTCTACTACATCCAGAACGATGGATACTACTTTATAGAGTATAACGTGGTCTGAGCGTTTACTAAGTGCCTGCGCTCTTACTTGATTGGTGATATGTTTCACTGTGTCATACGCTTGAAGAGAAAAATAACCCTGTCTGTCTTCACACAAGTTATCATTTGAGTGTCTCTGCAACCCAGGGAATATGAACAGTTAGCAAGGTCATAGCAGTCTTGTCTTTTTCACATGAAAGAACTTCTTGTTCTTTTCTTTTTTTCTTTTTTTGCTGAGAGTGGTTCCAAAAGATATGAGAGCTTGCAGCAAGGTCCCAGATAGGGCTTTAACTGTCACCAGATGGAGGGACAATTCACCAAGAGATGGTGTAAAGGAGTGGGGGGAATGTTATTTTTTATTTGGTCTTGTAGATTTGGGATTTCTGGGCCTAGGGAAAAAAAGAATACATGTTATTATCTCTTCTCCTCACCTCCTCAAGACTTTTCAAATAGTACGTGAAGACCACATTTTGCTATACTCAGACCTTTCATGCACTAATTCAGATACAGGAGAGGTTTTAAGACAGTCCCGTTCTTCAGACAGTCTCACCATATTGTCCATTAACACTCAGCCACATACCTTCACATTTTTTGTATAGTCAACATAAAACAACCAATAAAGAAGCTTAAGTTAGTTTTGAACACAGGCCCACAAGCCCCATGACCGGAAAAGTCATACTGGTTGAGACAAAAATGCCCCTTTGTAATCTCATCTTATTGGAAAGACAAAACACAAGCCTAAGAGGAAAGAAGGAAAGACACCCTCTAAGAGTCACTTCTACCAATTACCTATGTCTGTTAAGTCTAGATAAACAGTATAATACACAATAATGCTATTATCTTTGTTAATACACACAAACACTAAAGAGTTAAGATATATATAATTTCTAGCTCAGTGCACTAACTGGCTTCAAACTGGTGATGTTAATGTACAAATATATGAGAAGTATAAAATTAAAACAGAATCACAACTGTATTTTGGATATATTCTGTGACCTTCACTTTTGTAAAACTCCCACTAAACTAGAAAATAATTTTAACACACTTTGCAGCAAAGCAGAGAAAGAAAATGATTATTCAATCTAATGCAGCTTACACACCATATTCAGTTTTAATACTACTGTCTAGTGTGTATTACAAGAAACGTAAGAGAGTTCCACTTATGGTACACCAAACATTAAAGATGTGTATATGAAAACTGGTTAAGTGTTTCAAACTTAATCTTAACTAAATACATACAGTCAGGCTCTAGGCCGAAGGTCTAGACACCAGGACAGAAGGGTAAAGCTTTCCCAAAGCAGTTACTGGTGCTTCACTGAGGGACCTCAGCTGAGAATCTGACCAACTATCTGCATAGCTGGATCATTATTTTAAAATACTGAGTTTTAAGATTAAAAAAAAAAAAAACAAACCACCAAAACTTCAGATATATAGTGGCAATGTGTTTTTGTCGGTGGAGGGAATTACTTTACATACAGCTTACCCCAATTAAGTTACTTAATTTCACACAAAAAAAGCAGGAGGTGATAATTTGTATTTATACACAGTATGCATTCCATTCTTTTATATTTTTTCATGAAACCCTTCAACAGACACTAAAAAGACAAAGCATTTCACAGAAGCAGTGTTAACAAAGAAAAAAAAAAAGATTGGTTTCCTGTGGAAACAAAAGAGACAGAGATAGGCATAATCATATTTTATTTCCTTACCAACTGCAATTTCACAGGAAATTACTCAGTTGAAACCTAAAAAGCCTGAGCAATTTTTTAACACAATATATGTAATTTTCAAAGGCCCCTGCATCCTTCACCTGCTTTCATCTTTTACCTCAAGAATACTTCCCAGGATTGATGAGCATGTTTAGAGCCTTCAAATCCATTTAAGTCAATACAATCTGAAAGAGCAGTCAGTACAAACTTGGGGACCTCTGCACTCTACCGCATACCAAAACACTCATTACAGCATAAGTTATGTTTTCTATAAACTCCTAGGATTTCCAAAGGCTAGCATATCTACAATGTCATCAGAAAATCCTGATGAAGCACCAGTAAAAGCTAGCAAATTCATGACAGTCATTATTAGGTGGATCCAATAAAATCGCTCTAGTGATCTTAAAGAAAATATATGAATGTCTTACAGACCTATCAAGAACGTGCCACTGTAAAACAGTTACTAAGAGCAACATCTGCAGTTAAGCAAGCACAGAAATAGTTGCTATTTGATATCTCCTTCAAATTCTTTTAAAAAGGACTTTCTCCCTTCTTCACAGAAGGGCACAAAACAAGCCTGTTTTGGGAAATGAGTTTCAGATGACATCTTAGTGTATGAAAGACATTGAGGGCATACAGAATCTTAGTTAGAGATGCATATAAATTCTTAAAAAATTATGTTTTCAGCTATTCAAGCCTGCACAAATTTAAATGGTGCGAGGGAAGGAACAGCTTGGAGCCTCCCCTTCTTTCCACTTTGTCTTGCTCACAGCTATTCCCCCTGGGAGACATGGGTTCTGCCCTAGCTAGGGCAGGATTCTTCAGAGGGGCATTCAACCTCAGCCTGTCAGCAAACACCATCACCAAAACCAGCTGGTCTATTGCTACACTTCATATCCTATTCACAGTGATAAATCATAAGCACTGAATCTAATGCCAGCAGTAGACTGCCAACAGGGACTAGGATGGAAAGACTAGGATCATCTTCTGGCACCAAACAACAGAACAAACTTACTGCAGAGCGAAGTGCCAGAGGCCCTACGTCCTACAGTATCTGCACTATGCAGAGAGGAAAAAAGCCACCGTGGCTCTCTCACTGCAAGATTATAGAATCGTAGAATGGTTTGGGTCTCACACACTGCAGAGAATAAAGCTTAAAATACATCATGTAGCCAGCAGCTCTATCAATATTGCACCTGGACATTCCTACAGTTTGTGTTTTTTTTAATCTTCATGAAGACTTAAGCTCAGACAATCATTGTGTTCTGTCAATTTTTCTTGCACATTCAAAGATAACACAAAATTTAGCTTAATGATGAGGTAGCTTTAAGAATAAATAAAGTACTATATCCCCCAAAATGAAAGGGATAACCCTTATGCCCCACAACAGACTTGAGCTCATAATCATTTCACAGAGGTGTTCAAATTGGACTGAAAAGCTCTCTACTTTCCTAACAGAAAAAAGAGCTTTTCTAACACCAAAAGGTGTCTGCATTAGATTAGTTTTCTGGCAGTAATAAAGAAGTGGTGTTTTCAGTAATGATGCTTCTTGACAGTAAAAAACAATTTTAAAAACCTTCACAGATGCCCTCTTTTCATGTTTACCCATCAAATCCAGCTAACTAGCTGTTTTACACGGTCAGCTAACCTCAAAGCCACACATCTTCTATGTAAAACCAAAAGCAACAGCAACCACATTAGTAAATACCATGACACTTCTCCCTTTTCAGCAAAAAGCTCACATAAAATATTTTGTTCAAGCATTATTTTAAATTATGTATTTAAAATTATCCAGTGTCAGGCACCTTGCGGATGGATCAGTAGCTTTCTGAAACTATCATGTGAAGTCTCAAAGCCATCGTAAAGGAGATGGGACGACCAACGTGGTTATGTCTTAGGAGAGGAAGACATGCACGCACACAGTGCAATCTCAGCAGACCATGCTTTTTTCTTTTATATCAGGCTAAAATAGTATGTAGTTATATAACTGAAGAGCAATCAAAAGACCTACCTAGACAAGGTTAAGTTTGCAAAAGGTAGCTTATTTTTGAAGTTTTTTAACTTAGAACTGCCTGACTTAGCAAGCTACTTTTTCTCAAAGCAATTTTGCATGTAATGTATTGATCTCCTTTCAGATCCTTAAGCATTAGCAAAATAATGACAATTAAATAAGTATAAATAAACTGATCTTCTAAAGTCCCAGCCTTCATTGACTTGAGATAATTGGATTACTTCATCCATTAACCCAGAAGATGGATGTAATACATCAGTAGCTAGGACACAGATTAAAGAGGTTCAGAGTAAAAATGATCACCATAGCTCCTGGAATGGCTATTTTCTATTCTGCAGAGGCCAATCACATAAATTTATTCTTAATTAAGAAAATTACAAGTGTTATTTTATACTACCTGGCTGCAACAGTTTTATTTTCACATCCTTGCATATACACATGCAAATTATTTATAACTTTTTTGATAATGTTTTACCAAAGTGATGTCTTGTGATTTTAATAATATTCCACCCCAGCACTTAAAGTAAAAAACCAACCAACCAAAAAAAAACCCACACAAACACTTCTTTAAGTTCCAGTTGTGGTCTTTCCATGAAATCTTTGCAGTTTAAAAAACACCATCCCAGTAAGTAAAAATGCATCCCCTGTGCAATGTCATCTAGAACAAATTAAAAAGATGTCCTTACCTTTTCAGCAGACAACAAAGAAAGATGCGTGGAAGTAAACTGCTTTTAAGAGATGAGTAGCACTTTTATTATTTATTTATCTTTCCTTAAAGAAAACCGGTGGCTGTTCTCCACCCCCTTTCCTTCCTTTGGGCACTGAAATTAGACTTAACGTATGTACAGAGAAGCATCCCCAACACAGCTAAAAGCAAATGCACTCAAAGAAGAGCTCTAGTGTTACAACAGTTTTTGCCACGTCTCTGGTTTTGTTACCAGCAACAGCAACTAGCAGTCAAAGAGAAGTTATTCATTTCTCTAACATTAAAAAGAGGCTCAGCACAAAAGACTATAAAAGCTGACTGATATCATCAAAATATGTTCAGTCTTCAAGCCACACACAGGAAGAGAAGTGGGCTTTGAGTTCTACATCATTTCTTTTTCTGGTACCATAGATGTGAAAATAGTACTAACCTCAATGTCCCCAGGACTCGCACAGAAAACACCAGTTGTATCATAAACAGTTATTTCCTGGAAACAAAAT